CCTCCCACGGCTCCATGTTAAGTGAGGTCTTAATCTTCCACAGACCCGAGAGCTTCACAGAATATTATCAACACGTCTAAAAACGTAAGCCTTCAATGCCATTGTTTCATTATAACTGGATGTTAAATTAACACAAAAAGCCTCGGCCTGTTTGGTAAAGGCCAGCGCAGTCATGGCTCAGGCCTAGGCCCTCTGGAGGCAGATTCGAAATTGTCGTTTAATTGCCTAACCTGCACAGCCAGAATGAGAATGAAGGAAGGATGAAAACGTGAGCAGGATTTTGCTCAGTGGCACTCATCATTCACCATGGACAACTGTGTGCTCTGCTTCTCCTCCCCAAATCCATTTGTCCATTCTGTATTGATTTTGAAAAGGCTGACTCAGTGTGAACAAGATGAATCATTTCTCAGTCCTTGGAAGTCATTGCTATAATTATGAGGCTCAGTGGGTTTGTCCATATGACTGAGGAAAAGACATGTTTAGTCCAAGCTACCTCAGTATTCCTGAATCCCTGTCACCCATGGGGTCGGGGTAAATTAATTCTTTTGTAAATATATCTGATAACCTACTAAGTGTGATGGGGCACAAAGGAAACTAATTCAGGGAACACATGTGGCACCAGGGACAAAATGGTAGATGTGCTGTTTACCAGAACCTGGCACAGCACTGGCTCAGAACGTGGTGGTCCAATGAGTAAGGCTCTCATAAGTGACTCAATAGGGCAGAGGTATGCACACTTTCTCTATAAAGAGTCAGACAGTAAATATTTTAGGCTTTGTGAGTTACAGCATCTTTATTGCAACTCCTTAGCTCTGCTGTTGTAGCATGACAGCAGCCACAGACAACACAAAAAAGAATGGGCTTGGCTATTCTCCAGTCAAAGTTCACCAAAAATTCACAAAATTACAAAAAAGATTTGGCCTGCAGGCTGTAATTTGCCACCCCTCGCAGTAGGGTGTTAGGAAATTTTCAAGAGACAGAAATAAAAAACCTCTGGCTGGAGGAATCAAGCATTTCTTTCACTAAAAAGTTTCTGAGCATAATATTGAATGAGAAGAACAAAGTTGGAGGACTGACGCTACCCGACTTCCAGACTTCCTATAAAGCTACGGTAATCAAGAGAGTGTGGTATTAGCAAAAGAATAGACAAATAGATCAATGGAACAGAATACAGAGCCCAAAAATAAACCCCCATAAATACAGTCAACTGATTTTTGACAAAGGAGCAAACATAGTCTCCTAAATAAATGGTGCTGGAACAACTGAACATCCAGATGCAAAAAAATGAATCTAGACACAGACCTTACAGCCTTCACAAAAATTAACCCCAAATGGATCATAGACCGAAATACGAAATGCAAAAATATAAAACTCCTAGAAGATAACATAGGAGAAAACCTAGATGGCCTTGGGTATGATGATGCCTTTAGGATACGATCCAGGAAAGAAATAATGGATAAATAGGACTTAATTAAAACGAAAAGCTTCTGCTCTGTGAAAGACAATATCAAGAGAATCAGAAGACAAGCCACAGACTAGGAGGAAACATTTGCAAAAGACAAATGTGATAAAGGACTGCTATCCAAAATATGCAAAGAACTCTTGAAACTCAACAATAAGAAAACTAACAACTCGATTAAAACATGGGCTAATGACCTTAACAGATATCTCACTAAAGAAGATACACAGCTGGCAAGTAAGCATGTGAAAAGATGCTCCATATCATATGTCATCAGGTAAGCACAAATTAAAACAACAATGAGATACCACTATACAACTATTAGAATGGCTAGAATCCAGAACACTGACAACATGAAGTGCTGACAAGGATGTGCAGCAACAGGAACTCTCTTACACTGCTAGTGGGAATGCAAAATTATAGTCACTTTGGAAGACACTTTGGTGGTTTCTTACAAAACTAAACCTACTCTTACCATCCAATCCAGCAATCATGCTCCTTGGCATTTACCCAAAAGAGCTGAAAACTAATGTCCACACAAAAACCTGCACACAGATGTTAACAGCAGCTTTATTTATAATTGCTGAAACTTGGAAGCAACCAAGATCTCCTTCAGTAGGTAAATGGACAAATAAACTGTGATACCTCCAGACAATGGAATATTATTCAGCACTAAAAAGAAATGAGCTACTGAGCCATGAAAAACCATGGAGGAACCTAAATGCATATTACAAAGGGAAAGAAGCCAATCTCAGAAGGCTACATGCTGTATGATCCCAACTATGTGACATTCGGGAAAAGACAAAACTGTGGAGACAATAAAAAGATAAGTGGCCACCAGGGATGGGCAGGAGAGGGTTGAAGAGGGAGAGGACAGAGGTTTTGTTAGGACAGAGATAATACTCTGTATGATATTATAATGATGGATACATGCCACTATCCATTTGTCCAAACCCAGAGAATATAAAACACTGAGTGAACCCTAAGGTAAACCATGGACTCTGGGTGATTTTCTGTCAATGTAGGTTCATGTTTGGTGAAAAAAAAAAAAAAAAATATATATATATATATATATATATATATATATATATATATATGCCATTCAGGTGAGTGATGTTGATAACGAGGGAGGCTATGCCTGTGTAGGAGCATAGGAGAATTCTCTGTACTTTCCTCATAATTTTGCTGTGAACCTAAAACTACTCTAAAAAAATAAAGTCTTTTTTTAAAAAAAGTTTTTGAGTAGCATCTCCCTACATATTTATTTATAACTCAAGTGAACTACCTACCAATTATCATACTAACACGTGCACTTTATAAAACAAACCACAAAAATTATTATAAAAGTGAATAGAAATTAAAGTGGCATATTCTCCTTGAGCATCCTAGTGGCTCCCTTTGTGTACCCCTGGGTGCAGAACTTCTCTGCCGTATCCTGAAGCAGCACTTCCAAAATATGATCTGTGCAACAGAAGGCCATTGCCTAGAATACTCATAAGGAATAATTTTCTAAATGTGTGACATAGTGAACAAAGTTTGGGAAATACAGGGAGAGCTGGGGTTTAAGGAAAAGCAAAGAGGTTTCTTCATTTCAGGACTTGTCAGGGCCTTTAACTCATTCTGAGAGTACACTACGTACACTTCGAGTATCGGTGGTTAGGGGTGTTATATGCAGCATTCCTCAGATACGGCTGGTCATATGGGTGTCCTTCTCAGCATTCACCATGGGGGCCACTTTACAGGTCCTCGTGTGACTGTTCTATCAGTACAACTCCCCATGACATGTTCCACAACTGCAGGAATTGTGTCTGTGTTTACTCACTGCTATAGGCCCAGCCCCATGCACTTGTTGGTTGACTAAGTGTCAGACTCCATGCAGTCAACTGGTCTCTCACCAGAGCTGCATTCCACAGAGCTGTCTTCACAGTCAACTCTTCCAGGCCATGTGGAACCAGGGAAAGTTCTCAGCAGGTTAGGAGGATCATGCTGCAAGCAGTGTCTCCTATGGCCTGGGGAAGGGTAAGCTGTAGGAGGCCAAGGTCATATTGTTGCACAGCCTCTGTCACAAATTCGAACAAATGAGTATGTCCAGAGTAATGGGGTAAAGGCAACTCCAGAAGTGGCAGGAATTGCTGGTCTGTGCTAATCAGCATGAGATGAAGAGTACAAGGCAGGAGCTTCCCCAAGGGCTGCCTGCACATCCCCCTGCTGGCAGAGTCCCTCTCCTTTAATGCCACTGTCACAGAACATGTGGATTTTCAGTTCAGGTGCCACCAGGGAAAATAATCCACTGCTCCACCCTTTCACCAACTGTAGAATGCAACAGCTCAGGCCTTCTCACTGATTCAGCTCCACTCCTGTCACCATGGAGAGTTAAGCTTCAGATTGAACAGGAAGTATCATCAGATGACGAAAAGACTTGAGTTAGTGTGGCCTCTCTGACTGGTTGGTGGTGACTGTCTACATGTGTTGAAAAGGCTTCTAAGGCAGAATCTCAACTGGAGGTACATATGCTCTCCTCTCAATGGTGGCCCAGCCTCTCCCACACCACCCACATCCTTGAAAACTCATCGCTCCCTAGTTTAGTGGTTGGCAAACGGTTTCTGTAGAGAGCCAGATAGTAAATGTTTTAGATTTTGCAGGCCAGACAGTCTCTGTCACAACATCCAATTCTGTTGTTTTAGCAAAAGGAACCAAGTGCATAACACAAACAAATGGGTGTGGCTATGTTCCAATAAAACTTTATTTATAAACACAAGCAGCTGGCAGGATATAGCCTGCAAGCCGTAGTTTCCTGAACCCTGCCCTAGTTCCCTCTTCACTCTTTCCAGGTGAGAGGCACCTCGTCTCACAAATCAAGATGTCCTAAGGCAGTGCTTCTCAACTCCAGCTGGGGAGCTTTTCAACGTGCAGATGGCCAAGCCTAACCTTAAAAAGTTAAATCCGAATCCCCCGGTGGTATTTTTTCAGCCTCCACCAAATGATCCCAAGGTGCAGCCCAGGCTGAGATGCACCATCCAAGGGTGACTTCTGCTTCCCCTTCCTGCGGAGCAAGATGCATAACAGAACTACAAGGCCCCACCACAGAGGGCCTGCTTCATGGGCGGGAGGTGTCTGCTCCACACATTTTGGCTTTAATTAAATCCTGCCCACAAAGTTCTCTAATTGTTTCCTCTGTGTGTGTGTGTGTGTGTGCTGTCAACCAACCAACTGTGAATTCCCTAGGAGGTGTGCCTGTGCTTCTCTCCTCACCTACTGCCACTGAACACGAGGACAACTCCAATTCATCATATCCAGCCCAAGGGTTGCACAGAACACCTGGTCAGCAAAGCCAGCACCCACTCAGTAAGTGACCAGATTCACCAGGGTTCCCCAGAGACACAGAAACGAGAGAGAGAGAGAGAGAGAGAGAGAGAGAGAGAGAGAAAGATATTGATTGATTGATTGATCAAAGGAATTGGCTCATTTAATTGTTCGGATTGTCAAGTCCAAAATCTGTGGGATCAGCTGGCAGGCTGGAAATTCAGGTAAGAGTTGATACCGTAGTCTTGAGTCCAAATTCTGAAGGGCAGGCCAGGCAGGCTGGAAACTCAGGAAGGGTTTTCATCTTGCAATCTTGAGGCAGAACTGCTTCTTCCTCAGGAAATCTGTCTTTGCTCTTAAAGCCTTCAGCTGATTGGATGAGGCGCCCCCTCATTATGGAAGGTGATCTGCCTTATTCAACGTCTGTTGATTGCAAATTTTAATCACATCTAAAAAAATACCTTCAAAGCAATATCGAAACTGGCGTTTGACCAAACAACTGGGCACTACAGCCTAGCCAGGTTGACACATAAAACTGTCCATCACAGTGACTGTATCCTCTCAGTGGACTGTGGCTGCAGCCTGTCAGTGTGGCTCCCAGGCGTCTCCTCATCTCCTGCCATTCATCCAGGCAGCAGCCAGTGATTGTTTAGGAATGTGAACTGAACTGTGTCACCCTCCAGTGGTTTCCTGCCACCTTCAGAACAAATCCTTCCCCAGCCTTTGAAAGGCTCTGTGGTCCAGCTGCTGCACACCCTGCCCACCTGACCTCCTCCACTGACCAGTCTCACGCTGCTCAAGCCTCACTGTTCTCTTGCAACAATAAGCTTGTTCCCACTTAGGGCCTTTGCCCCAGTCTCCAACGCTTTCAGGCAGGCTGAACCAGTGCCCCCGATTGCCTGAGGCAGGCTCGCCCCTCGGTCTTTATAATAAACTCTGCATTAGGCCTAAGCTAACTTGAGTGGGTTTCTGCTACTTGCAGGCACGGAGTCCTGACTAGTGCACTCATCACATCCTGATGATGAAGGATCTCCAGGAACCTCTCAGGAGGACCCGCCTCAGCACCCCAGGCCCGACCTGGATGCCTGTCTCCAGCCTAGGTGGGTCCTTGTCCTTGTGTACCTCCCCACCTGGCCCTATTACTGGCTTCAATCTCTACCCAACCTCCATCCCATCGGCCCAGTCATCACCCTTCTTCCTCTACCTGATCTTTATGTGCCTCCAGTTCCTCAGGTGTAAAGTGAAGCAACTATGAACTTCTTCACAATTGCACGTCCGTTTCCTCCCAGCATCCGGCACAGGCAAGAACTCAGTAAAGGGCAGCATGGTTAAGGGCTCAAACCCACCTGCAAGGTCCAGGGTCCTCCCACCCCCGCCAAAGCCTTTCTCCTTACCAGTTACCCTGCCTCCTCTGACCTCCTCTCCCCGTTCAAGAAAACAGGAGGTTCTGTGGCCCTTTCCTTCGTGGTAATCACTCCCTGGAAACCCGTGGAAGGTTTGTTTTGGGTGGTAAGCCCCCCAGGGGCAGGCAGGCACCCATGCACACCTGGATTTCAGGGGCATCCATCTTTCCCAACGACACCCCATGTCTATCACCTCCACTTCCCCAGCACCAAGCACAGAGCACGGAGGTCCTCTGCTGGGAGGTGGGATGAATGAAAGGATACAACACTCCTCGTCTGTACCACTTAGAGAAACATTTTCATGTTTCACCACCAGCTGGGAAAGGCCTTCCCATTCCCTCCCCAGAAGTTAGTTCCAAGCCGGGGGCGGCATCTGAGTGGGACTCCTACTTCCCTTCCCGGTGTCTCCCTCTGCCTGGATTTCACCCTGCATTCAACTCATGAAGCAAGAAACTAGCTGGCTATGGTGACAAGAGGAGGGGCTTTGGAGCCCAAGACCCAGGGCTGAAACCATGCTTCTTCCCAAGGACTCCCTAACATCTCTGTGACACAGTTTCTCTCTCTGTGAAAAGAGAATGGTGACGCCTACCTCTTCAGGTCTTTCTGAGGATTGAATGGGATAAAATAGGCAAAAGCAATAGGCACAGTGCCCAGAGGAAGCTCTTAATAGGTTTTAGTTCTCTCCTCTTTTCCTTATTTTTTCCCCTTTCCCTGCTCTGGGATGGAGGCCAGCTTTTTACAACTTAGATTAAAAAATAAAAATTAGTAGGAATATTAGTTCCAAATGAGCCAAGCGAATACCAAAGTCCAAGTGCATGTGTATCCTGTGGGGAAGTGACATAGATGGCTACTCATCCGTGCCCCACTCCAAAGATCTAGCGCTGTTTGGTTACTACTCAAGCATCTCATTTTCTCCTCATATGTGAAAATTGATTTTTTAATGATCTGTTCCAGAATATTTCTAGGTATTAATGTTACATTATCTCATTTATAATTCCCCAAGTGTCACAGTTCCTTTAAAAAAAACAGATAATGAATAACCCTCTCCCAGCCATCTGGAATCTCTGGCCTCTGAGAATACTCAAACATGAGCACTAATGGCCTACTTAACAAGTCACTTACGCAGGCCTTGGACGGCAGTTTTCTGCAGGTCTAGCTGGCCACTTAATTTTAAGAGCCTTGGAGTAGAGGGTTTAACTCCATGCTGGGTTCAAATCCCACCTCTGCTGCTTAGCTACAATCTCTCAGTTCCTTCATCTATAAAATGGGATCACAACTACCCATACTACAGTGGAATTGTGAGGAATAAACAGATAAGGGTAAAAAAAAAACCCAAAACACTCAGTGCAGCACCTGACTCGCAGTATTAAGTTGAGCTGTATAAAGCTGCCTTTTTTGTAGGTCAAAAATGGTTGTATATTGGTAATTTCATATGGTCCTACCTAACAGGCTTTCGACAAAGAATAGCAGTCATTATTGGAGGGGAGCTGGCTGGCAGACAGAGGGCAGAGAGAAATGCTTGAAAAGGCAAGGCGAGAACACCATCATCTCCCATTTACCAGTGGTGGGCTTCCCAGTTAGTCCCTCAATACCCACCTTGCCTCTGTTCCCTCCACTCAGCCTCACTGGCCTCTGTTAGTCCCCTCATTACTCCATGATCATCTGCCCATGCTGCTCCTGCTGTTCAGAACACTTTGTCCAGCTGCCACTCACATAATCTTCATTCCTCCATAAATCCAGCTCAATTATCCCATCCTCAGGGCAGCTGCCCCTGACCTCCCCGACTGGGGACATCCCTAGCGGGCGCTCTCAAGGTCTCACGGGCCTCTCATGTGCAAAACACTTATCCCAGAGTCATCACACACTTATCTGAGTGATTATTTGGTTGATGCAGCCTCCACTCAACAGTGCAAGATATATGTTTGCAGGGACCATAGCTATTTCTTCTTGCGCCACTGTAATCCCAGCACCTAATAAAATACCTGGCACACAATAAGTGTTCAGTAAAAATTAATGAAGGAATATGAAGGGATGACTATCCCACTGCAGCAATGCCCTGCAGTGGCCCCCAAGACATGGCGGGAGCTTGGAGGGGCTGAGGGCAGACAATGGTGAGCCAAGCTCTGGCCTAGAGAGACAGGGGGACTGTTGGGGGAACTGCACAGGGTCTGAGGGCCCAGGCTCCTCTGGGGCTTATCTGGCTGACAGTTCAGTCTAATACTACAATAGGGGACCTCTCGAGGCACCTAGGAACCCCTCTGTGGGCTCCATCAGGGCCCAACAAGCCCTAGCAAGGATATGTCGGACTAATGGACACCTCAACCTGGCTGGGTCTTCCATCGGTTTTTTCATTCATCAAATGATGTCTGAAGGCCTTCTATGAGCTGCTTCTAACCTTGCCACCCCTGTCTCCACCTGCAGCCAGAATGATTCCTTAGAAATCAAATAAAGCTGCCATTACCTTGCATAAGCAATGGCTTCCTCTTGGTCCGTAATAAAACTCAAGGTCACACTTGATCTAGCTCTTTCCCTGACTTCCAACTCAATCAGGCACACTGGCCATCTCTGGATCTTCAAATAGGCCAAGGTCACTTTCATCTCAGATGAAATCTTTGAATCTCAGAGTCTTTGCATTTATTGTTCTCCCTGCCTGGAATGCCATTTCCCAAGACGTCTGCATGGGTGGCTTTATGTCAAAGCATAAATGCCAGCTTCACAGGAAGGCCTTCCCTAAACACCTCTGGCTAGATCTTTCCAGTCAATTGTGCAATGATGGACATGTTCTATATCTGCACTGTCTAATACAATAGCCATCAGCCATCAGCCACCTGTGGTTATGGAGGATGAAATGTCACAGATATGATTGAAGAACTGACTTTTAACTTGATTTCATTTTAATAAATTTTCATTTAACTTTAAATAGCCACACACAGCTAGTGGCCACCATACTGACAACGACAGGTCCAATACCCTGTTTTATTTTCTTTATCGCACTCAATAGCTGAAATTCTTTTTATTTGTTCCTAAGTTTATGTCCATCTCCCTCCACCATTAGAAACTTGAGCTTCATATGAAGACAGGGACTTTTTCGGTCTTGTTCATAGCTGGAACCCCAGTGCCTACAACAGAGCCTGGCTGTTGGGAGGCGCTCAAACGTGTTTTGAATAGGTAGGCTTATATCCTAAAAGGTGTTGATATAATTATCCTCATAATATCCATCCAAAAGCAAGGGTTTCCACCTCAGGATCTGTGCCCCAAGCAGCTGTAAGATGTGTCATACTTGTTACTACTAATGGTGGAAGTGTTCACATTTGTAAAGCACTGCCTTTTCTAATTAGTTAGAGTAGATTTAAGGTTATCTGAATAATGAGCTCATGACCAATCATCTGTATCCAGATTGATTTTCTCAAGTGGGAGGGAGAGGAGATAACTAACAGCTGGAGGAGAAAAACTGCATATGGGAGTCTGTCACACATGTGAGCATCATCTGTCACTTCTACTCAGGTAGAAAAAAACAGCAAATGTCAAATCTGCTGAATAAGATTGCTTTGGTCTGCTCAGCATCTCTTCTCCCTTGTTTCAGTAACACAACCCCAATTGCCCAATACAGGGGGAGATGGCAATCAAGGGGGCCCTGTCAGCCACACTCCAGCATGTGATCTAGGCTGACCAACGAGAGCCCTTCTTTTAGGCAATGCTTGGAGACTGAGGTTACTCTGCCCTTTATCACGGGTCAAAAGTTACAACGTTGCTGCTTTGGGCTGCCAGTGGCCACCTTACCCCACACACAGAGATCACTCTTCTGAGAACAAAGCCATATAGAAACAAACAGAGCCAAGAGCTGACAAGGAAGAGTGAAGTTTGATCAAATGATTCTGATCAAATCCTTGATTTGTCATACCTTGGAATGCCCAGACAAGTGAGTCAAAAAACCCCCTTTTTGTTTTTGATTCTAATTTGACTCGGTTTGCTGGAGTCCTGATCAAGAGTTCAGAAACACTGCCATCAATATTTGCCATGAGATTGACTTCCCTGAACCTCAGTTTTCTTCACACGTGAAATAGAGACAAAAACTTATTTTTTTAGAAGTGATAAAATTTATTCTAAGATATGAAAGTGGTTGATGGAATTTAAACAACCAGATGCAGCCAGGCCTCAGAAAAGGCCTGGAATCAGAATCAAGAAAGCCATCAGGCTCTCACTTCTCCTTTCTGCTCCTCAAGGTGTTTGCAGGGGTCTCCTCTGCACCTTCCACCTTTCGTGGCCACTGGTTAAAAGAGCAAAGAGAAATACCCATCGCTTCTCCATGTTTACACCTTTCTATTCAGAGATTAGCCTAGGACAAATTGAAATTTTTGATCCAATTTCCAAATCCTAGGAGAGGGAATCTAATGGGTCTACCATGTATCAGAAGACCACCCATGGTCCAATCAACTGGGATGGGGGTGGGTGGGAGGGTGATGGAGCCAAGTTGTACAAACATGGTTCTTGGGGCCCACCCTCACAAATGAAGGGGCTGTTGGGGGAGTCATGTTAGCCCGGCAGAGACCTCAAAAGGTATCTAATATACCACGATATAGAGAGTTTTTATAAGGACTTACTGAGCTAACACACTGTATACAAAATCATCAGTAAGAATAAGTTGATGGTTACATGGCTCACATTCAAGAACTATTAAGTTGAATCTGAACATGTGGCCTCCACGGCCAAACCAGAAAACCACCTTAGAAAAGCAACCATCCCATAATGAGCTCCTTCAGTGTCCAATAACTAGACTTCCTTGGTTCAAGTCAAAAAATTCTCCTGTGAATTAGAATCCATAACTGAGTAGCAAAACGTCAAAGAATAAGACTCAAGTAGGATACCTGGGTTTTAGAGCGTAAAGCCTTATGCATGATGATACCCCCTGACTCAAAGGCAAATCCGTTATTTTTGGTGCTGCCTATTAGTAGTATTAAACTATATTTAAAATTATCTACCTAAGTTGTTCTTCTTCAAAGTAACTCTCACAATTCCCAATAGACTAAAAAAGTTTCTTCATAAAGCCCAATTTAAGTAAGAAATAAATCACCCTCTAGTTTCCACATCATAATAACTTTGCCATTCCCACTTAGAAGAGTTAAGAAGCAATTAAAAGATAGACACAGAATATGTGGCCTCATTATCATGATTATTACTGCAATTTAGAATGTTCTAGCACTTAATATCGCAGTGGTCCAGTTACTCTGGTAATTTACTTCTCTATTTCTCACAGGATGATAATTAGAGGAACAGACATCCAAGGCCAGAGCATACACACCACAAAAGAAGGGGACATCCATCTCCAGTTACCAAGGTAACAAATTATACTAATGTCTTTTCCACCACTACCTAGAATCTTAAACACAGAACTGCTTCTCTGATAAAGAAAAAATAATGTGGAGCCGACCCGGTGGCACAGAGGTTAACTGCGCACATTCTGCTTCAGCGGCCCAGGGTTTGCCGATTCGCATCCCGGGTGCTGACATGGGACCGCTTGGCAAGCCATGCTGTGGTAGGCGTCCCAAAAATAAAGTAGAGGAAGATGGGCAAGGATGTGAGCTCAGGGCCAGTTTTCCTCAGCAAAAAGAGTAGGATTAGCAGATGTTAGCTCAGGGATAATCTTCCTCAAAAAAAAAAAAAGAAAGAAAGAAAGAAAAAGAAAAAATAATGTGACAGTTCAACAAGTTTGGTTACCACTCGTGCGTCTAATGTACAGTGCTGGGTTTCCCAGAGGCTGACTTGGGGTGGGGATATCATGTGCAGGACTGGGTGAAGAACGGAATGGAGAAAAAAATGTAAGCTTTTCTAGACATGTCCAGAATATGTAGAATTTTGCAAAATCTAGAAAAAAATGTTACTTCATTTTCAACACACAGCAAGTTCTGTGTCATTTCACAAAATGCCAGTGTTATGAGAAGCTACACAGAGGGTGATGTGCCCAGGTACGACAGTGTTTAGGATCACTCAAAGTCTTACTTGAACTCTCCGACCCATCTTACCCCATAAAGAAACTGGAGCTCAGCATGAGTAAGTAACTGTCTGAAGGTCCCACAGCTAAGAGGTGACAGAATCTACACTGGAAACCTGATGTGACCAACTCCAACACCTACTCCATTTCGGGTTGCTCTGGGCTGCTTTCCAGGTTGCAACTTAACAATATATCATGGAAAAGCAGTCATCCAGGACAACATACTTATATCATACATTGTCTCGTATTTAGCAAGTGTTCTGAATATGTTTCAGTGAATTGACCTATTATCTGAATTATAATCAGTTATGGAAATGAGATCTCATGTGTCAAGAAAACAAGAACTAGAAATGAATTACAATGACATTCCTTAAGGATTCTGCAACAACTACTGAGAAATAAGATGGAAGATTGTGAGCTGTGATCTTTTTCTCACTCAGCCATCCTATTTTTGTGTTATTGTTTTACCTTTATATGACAATAAATAAGTGAGATAAAAAAATTAAACATCAAAATAAAAAATAATACACGACGGTAAATCCATTTAGTGCACTGACACCTCATTTGAGATAATGCTCTGGAGAAAATGGATAAACTCTTCTGTGCTGACAATTCAGATCGGGAACTGCTCTGTGGCAAGAGAAAACGACTTCAATTTCGTCCTGTCAACGGAAGTTAACCTTCTGTGTAACTTTAACAAGGTCCATTCCCACCATGCACACTGTGAAGGCTCTGAAACACTTCCACCTAATCAACTGCAAGATGCTGTTTGCTTTAGAGGCCTTTAGGATCAGAAAACAGAATTTTTCAGGTCCATGTGTCAGGACCTTGAAAAAAAAATCATTGTGTGGCATAGCAGAAATATCTAGACTTAAATCAGCAACAAGCTCCTAGAGCTGTCAATGACGCAAATATGCATAAAAACTCTTTTAAGGTTAGTATTCCTTCAGCGATGTTCAATGCCTCTTCTATCAATTTAAAAAAGCAATAGCATTCTCTGAATGCCAGGCTGTTTAACAGGATTCATCACTCCTTCATTCGTTCTCTCAATTAACATCTGTGAGGCACCTGTGATGTGTTGCGGTGGTTGAAACAGTAGAGCTCACTGAGTATCGCATTTACTCTCCTCCATTTCCTAGCATCTCTTGTAGTTGGTACGGGGTATGTAACTAGTTTGGCCAATGGGCCGTGAGCAGATATGATATGTGTCACAGTCTATCTAAATATAGTATTTGAGAGGGGGCTATGAGTACCCCACATTGTCTTTCCCCCTTGTGGCAATTCCAGAAGCTACATATTCCAGATGACAGAATGGAAGGTGCCTGGGTCCCAGAGATGCCCACTGGAAGATAAACGACAGGAAAGCTGCTGGACCCTGTGGCATTTACATAAGCAAGAAATAAACTTCTATGTGTTAATCTCCTGAGGTTTCAGGTTTGTTTGCTATACTGACTAATGCAGTTGGGCACTGGGCTAGGCATGTGAAAAGGAGAGAAATAATATTAATCTCTGCCCTAATTTATTCAAATCAAAGAAAACTGAAAATAAACATATAAATTATGGGTATTAGTCTTTTATTAAAATGTTTTCTTAGATTAGTTTAAAGCACCTCAATTCACATTCAGATCTCCATGCTCACTAGTAATGAAGGCATTTTATTTGGTTGAAAGCCTTCCATTAGTTTAAAAGCTCCAACTGTTGAACCATCAATGTCTATAAGAATGTAATAAAGGACTGAATAACTAAGTGTTATGTAAGCGGAAGCTATAGGCATATTAACATTCATGAGTTTACTCACCACAGTTCCATTCATAGTCATTTAGAAATACAAATACAGTAATAAAAATTTCTCTTTATAAAAAAGCTAAATGCTTCCCACCTCCCCTTCCCACGGCCAGCCCCTAAATGGCAACTAAGTCTGGAGTACCAGTGTCTTTTATGACATCTCAATTCTGCTCTAATTATTATGGGAGAGACACGATTACATTCTTACCAATACAGCAAATGCATTTTGCTGGGAATTGGAATTGTATCTTACATACTTATTGATACATATTCTCCCAAGTGTTAACTTTAAAACGGAAAATATATTTATCTGCCAATGCAACCTAAAGAAACAACTATCTGGCTGTTCAAAAGGAAAAGCTCATTTTAGAAATTCTCATATGTATATTTTAGCATCACTTAATGAAAATTTTGTATAAACTAATAGAGCCGATATGGTAACATGTTGTGAGTACATTTGAACCCATAAAGATCTATTTATATAAACTATCACAGACATTGCTTAAGCCCTCAAAGCATAACCTCCCTCACCTAAGAAAGCTACACATTAATTCAAATTTATTCACTTCATAAGGTCTAGGCAAAGGGAATTCAGGTAAACTCATCTAGCGATAGAGCTGCCCGTAGTCAGACGTGGAATAAAATGAGAACATCTATTAGCTTTTGAGCCACTCTGGAGAATGAATGCCGTGTACAATTTTTGGAAAAAGATGTAAAGGCTAGGCTTTCGAGAACAAATAGCTGTGGAAGAACTGAGCGCAGTTACCAATCATACCACATGCTCTGGCTGTTTTGAAATCTTTGATCTCTCCCAGAGAAGCCACGGAAGCCAGGTCACCAAGAAGCCACCCCAGCTTCCAGGGCCATTGTGGGATATTAGCCACAGATTTTCCAGAGGGTGGTAATGGAGATCACACAGCTCATCCATCTGCTTGACGTTTCTGAGAAGTCCTGCAGGCATCCTAGGAACACACTGAAAACACAACTCTACTTTGGCCGTGCAAATAAAATACCAGAGGGGAGTGAAGGTTCTGGGAAGCTGGTGATTGTCCCAAAACTTTGGAAGACAAAATACATGTGTGGCTTCTCATCAAATGTCCTTCCTGTTTTATTACCCAAGACCGGCCTAGCCAGAGGCCACTCTTTCATGTTTGACCTCTACATTCCCCTTCCTAGAAGCAATAGCAGAAGTGCTGTCCATCTCCAGGGAACTTGGATTCCAGGAGGCCATCAGGAAATGAGCATCTCCAGACCTTGCTGCTTCTCCCCGACAGAGGCAAAACCACACACAGGATCAGGAAGTGTCCCAAGACCCAGGGACTCCTGTGGTCATCATGGAGAGGAATGATCTCAGCCCATGAGTCAGAAGACTTGGATTTTTCTGCTGGGGATTGTTTTTTCACCTGGACAAGTCTTCAACTTTCTGAGCCTCTGTCTCCCCATCTGTCAACAAGGCATTTCCACCAGATGACCCATGGGGTTCCCTCCCAGCTTCCATACACTTCAGATTCTGGAGTTTGTTCCCAGGCTTTTCAGGAATTAAAACCATCCATCACACTGGCATATGGAAATACAAGTCCACATTTTTCACCAAAAGTGCCCCAAATGGAGAAGAAATTAAAGTATCCTTAGAAATGAGGAGGCAACCCAAAGTGACCAGCCAC